TATCCATTTCCTCAAGTGCTTTGCTGGATCAGGGCCTAACGAAGGAAGGATATAAAGTGTTCTAGTAGCTAGCTTTGCTCCCCATGTGCCAAATCTGCTGATTCATTATCACTATTTAAGTCACCAGGGAAGTGCACAATGCAGCGGCAGTTTGCATGAAGCTGCTGTTTGGTTTTGCTTCACCTGAATTTGCATCTTGGGTTCAAAACAACCCAAAAATTCAAAGTGAAGTTCAGTCAGTTTTCACTGGGTTTCACACTGAAACCTTGGGTATTACAGTACTACAGTTCAGTCTAGGTTCACTCCAACCACAAATCCCTGAAAAAGATGTGAATCATTTGACAAACATGGACTACATTTAAAGATTTAACAAAGCCCTTTACCAGTTTTGCCTTGTTTCTGGTTTCATTCCAAATACCTCACATAGCTCTTCTTAGAACCCTGAATGGACTGAGGAGAGTATAAGTTGTCCTTAGATACTTTTACATTCAAGTAGCGTGATTCTCTCATCTGTTGTGTGTGCAGCTCCCAATAAAGTCAATGGGAAGAGGGAGTGCTCAGCTGATGAGGCATTGGGCCCCTTCTATTTGGAGGAAAATATTGAAGATTGTTGCATTGTTTGTTAATAAATGGATATTGTCATCCTGAAAATGAAATGCCTATTTATGGCTGACTCCCCATAAGTTTTCATCTATGCTCTTTTTAGAAGCATAAAGTGAGGTTAAGGTAATTGCTTGCAGTAGGGTTGGGAATTCATGAACTGGAAAAACGTGACTGTGGCTCATAAATTGCTTTCTGTGTTACTAATTTCAAGACATTCTCCCAGTAAAAGGTGAATAAATTCATTTACATGATTTGCGTATTGTGCCATTGGAGCTCAAGAGTAAAGAACTGTATATTGTGTATTAACGCCAATGCTAAAAATAGATTGTAATATAATTGAAATGCAAGAAGGAGCATTTATGTTCTGCACCGTTCAGTTAAAGCTGTACTCACTAAATTAACAAAACAAAACAAAACAAAAACACCTTAACAAATAGATTAGGTAAATTGTGATAAGCCCAAACATTTTTTGTTTGTTCTCCAATGCATTTTGCTTGTAAAAGTGGAAGAAAAAAGAGATAGCTCTCCCTCATTTTTTCTATCTTCTCTATTTTGGCGACTTGCGTATGTTTTGTAAAATACATTCCCAATATGCATTGTTCAATCAAACAGACTGTTCTAACACAATATGACTTTTAACTGTGAATATTTTCTGTAAGTCTGGTTTCAGAGCTTGTTTTTTTGTGAGAACACACTATCTTTGATTTAATTTTTTCCGACACTGTGCCCACTGCACAGTAGAAAAAAAAGTGTAATTGTAGTTTTGTCCTTTACAGCACAGGACAAATAAATGTCAAAATCAAATGGTGGTGTCCCCCAAGGGAAAATATACTTCAGTTATGAAATATTCTTACTCAGTTCCCATTGCTATTCCTATGAACACCTAGGTGAAGCTGCCCCAGGACCTAATCAGATGCTACTCATTTGCATATAATAAAAATTGTGCAATGAGGTTTTAGAGCAACTATGAGGAAAAGTGCATAATGTCTCTTTAAAATCGTCTGGTGTAAAACTAGTGCTGCTTTGGCTCTGGATAAATGATTGCCAGTTCTTGAACAGAATAGTTTGACAAGACCTGGTATGAAATGAATATCTGTTTTTATTGTTGGCATTTTAATTGTCAGTTTAATTCTGTGTTTAATAAACATGCTTTAAAGTAGCACAGTGCTATTTCCTGTTCTGTTTCTTGGAAATGCTGTGATATTGATAAAGTGTCAGCCTCTTACTTGGGAGTGACGATAACAATCAACGTTACAAAGGAATCATTAAGGAAGCTTTAAGAGGAGACTGATGCAGGGAAACGGCCACTCTTGGGCTTTATTAGCAATCTTAATTGCATTGTTACGCAGAGCAAGTGAAAACTAATCACCCTTGGTTCATAAATGTGTTTTGCACCTTTGTGGAAAGAGTGGATTTAAAGTTTGGAATTTTTTTCTCTTTAAACACAGAGATGTTTTGAAGAACCAGCTAAGGATTGAGAATGAGAGCAGACTCATTGCCCTTCATTAGGATGATAAATTTGCTGTCCTCAGCAAGTTATATCTGCTTCTGAAACATTTTAGCTTTAGCTTTTTGATGCATGCAGGGCTGGATGTCACATATGGTCTCCAACCATATCACTCCAAACTTCAAATCCTTTCACTGGATTCCTTTCTATTGCCACATCAAATTTCATCTCCCCACCCTCCCTTTCGGCTGATGCAGAATCTTGTCCCTGTCTACATGTGCTGCTCAGGTATCATGGTTGCATTCAGATGATGCCCTGGTGGCACGTACACATTATCCATCCATCCATGCATCCATCCATCTATCCACTGACTGCTCTCATTTCCTTCTTTTCCAGATCATGTGTTCAGATCATTGCCCTATGTTTACTTTTTAACTAAGTTGGACTGCAAGAACTTTGGGGCGGGGACTCTAGATCTAAATGTGTGAGCGTGCTGCATTAAGATGTAGGATTGAGGCGATAATCTGTCAGCCCTTTCAGAAATCTAATTGCACTCTTTGCATTTCCTGTTTGATCGCTATATATGCAGCACCTCCTGTCTTGGCCTGAACTTGGCTACTATTACCTCAGACAGGATGTTGCTGAGGAAGTCTTCTGTGTGGCAGCTGTATCTAATTATCAAATTCCTACAGAGCTGTCAAGTATCTTGCCTGTCACATACATATACACCCCCTACTCCCTTAGCCCTCACCCTGTTCGTATCTATCTGCAGTATTGATGCAAAAATACATGAGGACTTGGACCACACTTTCTCTCACCTACTGTAGTGATGTTGTGTCTCCATTCCTTTACTGCTTACCTTACGGGTTCACTGCCAGCATGGGGCATTCCGCATCAAATGATGGAGGAGGGAGCGGGGGAAGAGAGAGAGAGTTATAAGGAGAGAAGAGGGTGGAGGAGGCCTGGAACTGGCTATAGTAATTTCCCACTGGGCAACTGACCCTTGGGAAAATGGGTAGAATGTAGTGGTAGGAGCTCTGATGGTTCTTGGGGCATCCAGAACTGTGAGTCATTTTGTTACTCCCTGCCTCGAGCATGAGGGAGTCTTGCCTGTGACTGACTGGGTTTCAGCTCCCTGACACCACCAGCCTTTAAGCCACTCAAGCTTTCTCCTTTGGGCTATGCCAGCCCTGTCTTCACCGTGCACCCCAGTCCACAAGTCCCTTTGAATTGTTCCCCTGGGCTATCCAGCCCCTGACACTGGGTATTCAAGAAGTCCCTGATCCTTGCCCCCAAAGAAGCAGTATACCTCCGTTTACCTGTTTTTCCTTAAGCCATCACTCCTGTATAGAATAAAGCACTTATAATTAAACAAAAGTAGGTCTATTTAAGAAATAAGAACCATTTAACTAGAAACAAGAAAGAGAGCGTGGAAAACAAATGATTACAATACAAAACAAAATCATAAAATGCCCCCCCTGCAACCCCCAAAGTCAGTCAGTCTCTTGAGAGCTGACTGGCTTCACCAGAACCAGGATCCAATTTTTTATGAGAACAACTTGTGCCTCAAGATCTCCTCAGCGAAAGAATTCAGAGGACCTCTTCCTCCTCTGTGTTTTACTGAAACAGTCTTTTGTTTCAATCCATAGACAGGGGGTTTGTAAAGTTCCTTTTTTTACCTTTAAGTGGTTTTGATTGTTTTCATTGCCTCTGATGGCTTTCTATTGAAAGTCTTGGAATTGAGCAAGGCTGAACAACGGAGCCTTGCATTGCATCACCAGCTAAACAGGGTGGGGAGACAACTCCCTCCATCCTGAATGGGCCATTACTGAGACATATTATCCCCTGGTGACTAATTTTTACAATTCCATAAAGGATATTTTCAATATAAGTGCATTATTCCTTAAATTCCTTAGCCATACGTACATCTCGCAATGATTATGAATCTTGACAAGTTATGAGCTTGTCAAGCTTGCATGTTACTGTTTATGGATAAATATCCTGTAGGATGTGTTTAGTGTAGTAAGTTTGTCAGGTCTGAGGTGAGAGTTGTTTGCAAAGAACAACTTTGCCTAGGAGCCTCTGTGTTACAGAAGCAGACATAGGTTTATGCAGGAACAACGGCAGGAGGAAGATGGAGTGTGGGTGATGGTGAATATGGGAAGGAAGCAAGCATGTAAAGAGCCAATAGCCCAGGGGTTAGGGCACTCACCTATGATGTGAGGGTCTCTGTCTAACTGGGAGCACGGATTTGAATCTGTCTCCCAGGTGAGCCAGCTAACTAGTAGGCTATTGGCTAGTCTGGCATGGATCGCTCTCCTTCTTTCTGAAATTCCATCCTGGGCCTGTGAAATCTTTTCTGATGAAAGTTTTGTGTAAGCAGATATGTGCCTGCCAAAGGTTTTAGTTTTTGATTAATTAGCATTTTGCAATGAAAAATCATATTGTTGAAAAATTCGCAATCAACTCTAATTATAATGCATTTGCTCAAAGGGGCCTTTTGAGATGTAAATTATGCTTTAAGGCAGTGGTGTCAAAAACCCAGCCTGTGGACCAAATTGGCCCACTTCTTTTATATATACAAGTATGCTGTAAATCTGAAAATGCACACACACTTGTGTTCATTTCAATCTTTCCATACCAGAGCAGCTGCAAAGTATGCTAATATGTGGATAGTTACATTTGATTATGGGACTTCGGAAGATTACTATTTCCTTATTCATTGGAGAATGTATATCATATGGAGGAGAAAATCTTTCTCTTTGGAAAGGTGTATGTTCTGACAATACCCCATAAGACAATCCATGGAATGATTGAAAATCATTTAAGGGCCTTCTCTTAAAACCATGGAAACATTAGTAGGACATTGGTGGTAGCAGCAGGCTCAAGCTGGATTCGTCTTGTGGCTATGTCAGTTAGTGCTATAATAAAATGTTATGTTTTTTTCTAGGTTTGACAGCAGAGCAAATCTGTCTTGGCTGCTGACTGAAGGTGGGTATCTACAGTATGATGACGTCAAAGCCTCAGTGTCGAAGGAGACGACATTTATTACCTGAGGTTCATCAATATATATTGTTCTTGAGCTTGACATCTAACTGTGGTACTTAACTGCCCCCAGTTATCATAGTATCTGAGCACCTCACAGTCTGTAATGTGCTTGTCCTCACAACACCCCTGTGAGACAGGAAAGTGCTATTTTCAGATAGTAAGTAGGTACCGAAAGACTAAGAGAGCCACCCAAAGTCACACAGAAAGCCTGTGGCAGATCTGGGAATTGAGCCCAGATCTCCTAAGATCCAGTTTAGTGCTCTCATCCTTCCTCTATAAAATGCTCCATTGCAGGAAGTGGTGTGGCCCGCAGGGACATGCTGTCCACCGGTTCCCACAAACGGTAAACCACAGCCACTGGGAGCTGTGGGCTGCCGTGCCTGTGGACAGTCAATGTAAACAAAGTGTCTCGTGGGCCACCAGCGGATTACCCTGACAGGCTGCGTGCAGCCCGTAAACTGCAAATTGCCCACCACTGATTTAGACTCTGACCTAGAACAAAAAACATCTCTCTACAATCACAATATTTTATTATTAAATTAAAAAGCAGATTTAAAATAATAATGTTAATTTAAAGTCTTGAATGAGCTGGAAAAATCATTAGGATACAAATATTTTGTACCACTACAGACTGTTTGACCATTGCGTACATATTAATTTATATGGCAATGCAGTTTTTCACTGATTGCAAAAATTGCACTTGAATAAGAAGCTAGTTGCATTTTAAAGTTCTTTGTTTGGTCACAACTTTAAGTGAAGCTCTTATTCAAAATTGATGCTAACTGGTACCCCTTGTCAGCAGCCTCAGCAAACAGGCCAGTGAATGGGCATGAAAAGTGAACTATCCTTTCACCCTTAAAGGATCTCACCTGGCCTGTTATTGGTTAAGCCATATGGAAGAGCTCCCAGTTTTGGGAACAGAGAACTGAAAGTCCCACACTTTCCAGAAGCTAATAATTGCAAGAGTCGTTTTTTTAAATTGCTTAAAACAGTATGAATAAAATATATCTGTTACTCTGGCAGTCTATGAAATTCCCAGAATTTCAAACTCAGTCTCATATTGCAGACTCAGTCCCTTGCTCACAGGCCATCAGAGACTGGGAACACTCATGCTACTCTCCAGTGACCCTTTCTGTCCATCACTGATGAGTTCTAGAGGGATCTATGTCCAGCTCTCCTCACCAGAGACATGGTCAGCCTCACTTGGTGTGCTTGACGATTTGGGATTGTAAAAGAAGAGAAACTGAAGGGATTGAGGCCCGTCCAGCACTCAGCTACCATGGTAATGGGTCATGGTATAAAAACCTAGATAGATCAATTCCACTTCTGGAAAAAAATATGTTTTTAAAAAAATTAATATTAGATCATTCTAGAAGATATTGATTATAAATAGCACCTGCAGGTATACTAATATCGAATTCCTTGGATGTAATGTGACATCATCTCAGGCAAGTGCTGGTGCAAGCAAATAGCTCAAGCAACCAGAGTGTAGCAGGCATCATATTTCTTTCATTAGTCCACAGAATTGCACCAGCCTTCGGGTTACAATAGCCTCTCTGGTCCTGCATTCATATTCCATTGGGGTGGGGGTGGAATTGGCTAGCGGATCCCCATAGTTGTGGACCCACCAGTCCTGCTCATTCTTTGTCACCATGGCAGCACTGTAGAGTAATTTCAGAGCTGGCTTTTGTACCTGTGTGGGCTTTTAGCATCATGTCCACATTAGTTCCACTGCAGACAGGCCTGTTCACAGCTGTGGAGGCAGGGACAGGACTTTCCCCTGTAAGCTTAGTACTATGTTCTCCTAATGAGTCACAACAAAGTACTCTAGTCATGTCCATTATTTTTTTGGCAACAATTATCTTTGTTACTATCACCTCATATTTAAGAGGCAAAAATAATCATGTCTCTGTGTTGATTCATAATGTTTTGCAAGCGTTTCCATAAACAAAAAAAGAGTTTATAGGGAAAAAAAAGGCACATGGTTTTCTTTATTTTCTCCTCTTCTCTGTGATCAGTCCCATTTCTCAAAGGTATCAGTAGAGTGGTAAGGACCTGACAAAGTCAGATTTATTAGAAGTTATATAGGTAAATTATAGGTCAGTTCTTTTCATGAGTTGAGACTGTGTGGTCCTTTTCTACCTGGGGAATCCATTTGTTCCTGAAAGCCTCTATTGTACTCAATACAGCAGAGATTAGAAGCATCAGCTACCTTTTATTCAAAACATATTTGCATTAAATTACAACAGGTTACTTTGCAGCCAGACATATGAAAGCCATATGTATGTTGTGTAGAGAAGAGTGTTAAAATTCCCCTGAAGTGATAGAAATATGAGAGGCAGAGAGAGAATATAATTTTGGCAATTGTAGTCAATACAGTGAGGCTAAACTGAGCTTTGTCTCTGTGGTACTTTTAGCAAAGAAGACATATATCTTGAAAGTGGTTCAAATATGTTCCAAACATAAACCGTTTAAGGACGTCACTGGTAATTCCAAACCGTGCCGCATAACCACATATGTGTTCCAGATAGTGAGTGAGCTGAAGCATACTTCATGTGTACACTATACTCTGGCACATTTTATAATGTTTTAATTTCTGAGGATTAGTGTTTTCCCTGATGGTATCATAGATATGTACATGCAAAGGGAACAGTTTCCAGTTGGTGAATTATGTTAAACCATTTTGTTAAAGCTAGTACAGCTATATGTACTTTGCGCCAACTCTATTGCTGCGGTAACAACTTACGTCATAGATGAATTTGGCCCATCAGATTCAAGCACTATTACTTTTCTAATTTGTTAATTACTGAATATTAATTAACTTAATAGGCCAGTGTTTGCAACTAGGTTACTTGGCTAGGAAATAGAGAGCTCCACCATCAGCCAGGGTAAAATGATTTGATCACATACAATAATACTGTAAGGTGGATTGTGTGACATTGGCACTTCCTGTACACAGTGCTCTAGTTTCTATAGAGAGTCCCAGTTTGCGAGCACTTTACTTGAACAAGAAGATTGAATTTATTTGTTATTTTATGAAGCATTTTTATGCGTTGAAAAAGTGCTACTTGTTTGCACATGCTGGTTATGTGGCATTCTTACATGATTTCATGCTTTGCTGATGGAAAATTAGACCCTTGTGTATTATAAAAGAATAAAAGATAGCTATAGAATCAGGATGCGACTGCCTCAGGACATTCTGTTGACAGCTAGAAATATATACAGACAAAGCAATGTCACTGGATGCTAATGTGAACTATAGAAGTTGGTGAGTATGGTAAATCCCTGTAAAAAGAAAAGTCTAACCCCTTTTATTTTGCAGGTTTTGCCTTTAAAATTTCCAGCAAGTAAACATTTCAATAGTTCTGTTAAATAAAAACTATTATGTTTTATAATTATATGTCTGTTAGTGTACATAACATTTGTTTATATGTTTGTGTCAATATCTCTATTCAGAAAATAAAACAGTCCTCTTAGAGGGCCAAACCCTTACTCAGGGCTGACTCTAGGTTTTTTGCCACCCCAAGCTCTGAGGAAAAAAAAAAAAAGGCTGGAATGCCGTCCCTTGAAATGTGCGGCCCCAAGCACGTGCTTTCTTTGCTGGTGCCTAGAGCTGGTCCTGCCCTTACTCACCACTCAGGTGAAACTCTCATTGACTTAAGGAGTAGTGAGTGTGTAAGGAATGCTGGATTGGACTGGTACTGAGTTGGATTAAGAAGATTCATATTATCAGTTTCTCTGAAACTATAGCAAATTAGCCTTAGCAGTTACAGTAGCTTTTCTGGCTTCTTTGTGCTTCCAATAATCATACTAGATGCTTCACAGAGCAAATCTCAGGGCAGAGGTGTGAATTTGCTTTCATTGAATTTAATGCTAGCAGGATAGTATTGTTTCATTTCCATGATTTACCTTACTATGTCTATTCTCTAACAACTCAACTAAAATGAAACTGTTTTGATGTTGGCTGTCCAGTCCAGCTTTCTTATTTGTTTAAACTTCAACAATATAGCAGGAACATATGAAGTTTGAAACAACTGATACAAAGTTAAGTGAAAATATCTTCTTTAGTGATGTTAAGGTGATGGTGATTTGTATATCAGACAGTTTTTTCACCATTACAATTCTACTCCAATTTAAGAATATTTTTAATATGTCAGCAACCTTGTGTTTTGAGATAAGAGAAACATAATTACTTTTATTATTCACACTAGAAAACTCTAAATTGCACTCAAAGGCCCAGTTCTACTTTGATACACTGGTGTCAATCCAGAATAATTATGATTTATGCAAGCTGTAACTGAGAGCAAATCTGAGCTCTGAGCATGTAGAGAAATTGAGACTGTCAGAACTACTATATGCATTTTGTTCCTAATTTGGGGCCAGATCATCTCACTACACAGGGGATAGGAATCCTGTGCATGCCTTCAGACCTCTTACTTCTTGGGACCCTGAGGTGGAGTATACAAAACCCAGCTAGCCAAGAAGGTGTTAACAACAGCCCTGCCCTACTACACCTGCAGTAGAAGGTGTCAGGCCTGGAGGGAGACATTAAAAAGCTGAACCAGCTCAATTAGAAGCTGACCTGATTGCTGGCTCTCACTTAGTGAGAGAAAATGAAACAGTTGTGGGGTGGGAGGCAAAATGTTGTCATGGCTAAGATGCAAGAAACAGAGTAGGAATAAATGGTTAATTTTTATCATGGGGAAAAAGTTAACAGTGGGGTGCTTCATGGTTTTGTATTAGGTCTGGCATTGTTTTATACATTTAATAACAATCTGGAAAGGGATCTGTTTCCTGAGGTAGCAAAAGTTGCAGACGACAGAACGTTATTTAGGTTAGTCAACTCCAGAGAAGACTGTGAGAGGGACCTATCTAATTTAGGTGATTGGGCATCATAATTGCAGTTCATTGCTGATAAATGCAAAGTAACGCATGTTGGAGTG